CAAGGTCCTAGCAGATCATCAGGGTGTGTTGCCAATAAGAAGAGTGAGATGGATGTGTCTTAAGTAGGGAACATAGAATTCTGAACAAGGTTAGAATTCTGCAGCACCAGGAGACAGTTTTCTAAACAACCACTCACATACAGAACTCCTGATACCTTGCTGATAGCTTCTCCCTCCTCCTTAGTAAGTGAAGAAACACATTCTCCTTATTGGTGGGTGGGAGTGAGGATCAGCTGTCTAATATTGTTGGCAGACCTGATTTCTCTGTGGCAGTAAGAAATCAAAAGTTATCAAGTTAAATAGAAAGGTTTGGAATGAACTTATAGCCTGTGTGAGATGAGTTATGGGGGTTTCTGGGTGGGAGATAGCTCCTCATACCATCCACTGGGCCTTTTGTTCCACAGTCAGAATGTCTGAGGCAGATGACAAGATCAGGTAAACCAGTCTCAATCACCTGGGGAAAGACACTTGTGACAGAAAGGAGAGTTACCTGCTGCACTGATTTATCCAGTCTCTGAATCCTGAACTTCAGGACCACCCAGGGACACAGATTTGTGACAATTACATGTTATTAATCCCAGAACATCTTTAAAGCATCCCTGATCCAGATAAGCCTGCTGGAGAAGGCCAGGGATGGTTTCGTGGCTGGAGAATCAGTGAATGCTAGATTCCTGTCCTACAGGGTTCCTGAAGGAGAGGGTGCCTGAGGTGAAATGACCAAGAAGATGGTAAAGTACACGTCTACATTGGTAGTTCAGTATTGTACCTCAAACCTGCAAAGAGTACATATCCAAGGCCCTCTCCCAAGCACATTCCAATATCCAGAATCCTCTCCTAAGTGGCCCTAAGCTTCTTCCCCAATGCCCTTGCCCTGATGGGGACCAAGGGTGACTGTTTGGAGATGAGAGGGTGCAGACATGGAATAGGCTTGGACATGTGGCTACAAGGTCCATGCACACCAGGGAAGCCTTTCATGGTATGGGATGAAGGAAAGAGTAGGAAGAGAGGGGTGAGAGGACTTTCCATTTCTGTTTTCCTCACTCTTTCTCAGGAAAGTAGCTAGGATTTCAGGCTTAATTCAGGGATGAGGCAGGCACCATGGTGTGTTATGATAATATGGCCCTCTACTCACCCTCATTCGGCCACGGAGACTGCAGCAGATGCCCCCAGGGCTCCTAGCCTCACCACACTCAGCTTGAAAGAAAAAAAGTTGCCCAGTTTCTCAGATACCTGCCAGCTGGGAGGGACCATGTGTCAATGGCAGTCACAATGAACTGAAGGGAGAGAGCCTTCTCATTTCAACCATACCACAGAAGCTTTCTAATACTTAAGAAAACCCAAGAAAGCAGACTGTTCCCCAGTAATGACTTAGGTGGAATTTTCCACTAAACAGGGAATAGGGCTCAGAATATGATTTGAGTTAATTTAAATAAAATGTGACTTTTTTATGGTATTGGGGCTTGAGCATGCTAGGCAGGCACTCTACCATTTGAGCCATGCCCTGAGCCCTTTTTCTTTTAAATTCAGTTTTCAGATAGGGTCTTGTGCTCTTGTCTGGGACCAGCCTACCTCCTACTTATGCCTCCTGCATACCTTGGGTTACAGTACTAATGCCTGGCCTCAAACCATGATCCTTCCAATCCGACTCTGGGGTAGCTTTGATTACAAGTATGAGCCACTGCACCCTGCTTAAAATGTGACATTTCCTGCACAACCAAAATTCATGTGTATTATATTATTGTTAGATCATTAAACCAAGGATTATGAAAGCCATACTGATACCAGTTGGAAACACAGGAAGTTCACATCCAATGCCATTAATACTTAAAAATAAAAATGAAATGCTACATATGAGGATTGGGTAAAACCTAGAGATTGCTTTGTTAAGATTTTAAAACTTTTTATAGCCCTGGTCATCTTCCTGGGCCACAGGACTAATACCACTGTCCAACCTGAACAGCCCTTTCTGTGAGCTTAAGGGTAGAACACAAGCCCTGTCCATCTGCCAGTCTCATCCCTTTCATATCTCCCATTCATGTGACTACCTCTCAGCACTGGACTCAACACTTTGCAGGGACCCAAGTACAGCCTGCTCAATGGCACTAGAAAAACTGATAGTAAGTGCACCTTGGTGGCAATCAGGACTATGAGCATTAACATTCCCTCTTTGCACAGTACATGAGAGCAGGTGTGATGTAAGCTCTATTACATAGCACACTCTGAGTGGTGTTTTTGCAATGGTCACTGCTGGCCAGGGTGTTCAGCAAGCCTGGGACTCATTTTGAACTGCAAGTTTCCACTCTGGGAAAATGGAGGCAGGATGACTAGGTAAAGTTGAATTATGATACCATGGGCCCTTGGTTTGGGACAGAGTGTAAGGGTGGGACTCCTGCATAGGAACTACAATACTCATGGCAGGAAAGGGTGAGTATACAGGAGAGAAAATGAAGCTGGCAGCTTCAGAAGTAGCGCTGGGTTGGGCAGGGCTATTTCCTGGAATAAGTTTGAACAGCTACTTTGTCCTCTCTTTAGGGTCAGAGGCCAGGCTGCTCCTGGTGGGTGACCTGGTCAGGTTTCCTTGCTGGTCATTGTACTTTCCTACAGCAAAAACATTATTGCCAAATGACAAGCAAGAGGTTGAAGGGAATCAGCTTTCTAAATGCCCAAAGGCTGTCACATTCCACACTCTGCTGTTGAGCAGGAGACTTTGCTGGCCTTTGCTGTTGACCTTGGTGTCAGAGTCTTTAATGAAAAAACTGCTGATTGGCATCAGAAACCAAGGTCAGATCTCAGCTCTGGCACAAACCGGCTCTAGGACCCAGGGAAGCCAAAACACCTACGTCTCAGTTTCCCCACCAGTGATTTAATGAGGTACTAGCAACACTTGGGGTGCTGTTAGCTACCACATTAACTCTCCCCCTCCTTCACTCACTAGAAGACTGGACTCCTTCTCCAAGAATTTGAGAAGAAAAAGGGAAAGCATGAACAGGAAAAGGGGAGGGAACAGTTGCCCAGAGGCATAAGAGAGGCACTTCCCTTTTACCAGCAAGCCTCAAGGGATCTAGGCAGCATTCTAGATGGTAATCACTGATTACAAGGTAGTGAAATCTCTAAGGCATTAGGAAAATGGTTACTTCTGCATGAAGAGTCCTTAGAAGATGAGTTGTCCCTGCAAACTCACTCCTTTGACTGGAGAGACAGACAACAGGCACCTATAGTCTCACACACAAGTTGCATACAAAGAGCTGCCTGCCATAAAGCAAACTAGTGCAGTGATCATGACAAAGCTCCAACTGGGGGAATCCCCCTGCAGAAAATAGGGGACTCAGCAGGCCAGGAATGCTGTCCTTTGGAAGGCCTGCTTACAAGGCAGGCCCTTGGCTAGTATCTAGACCTTGAACCTCAAGAGGTTCCCAGCATTCCCAGAACTGGTAAGTGTGGCTTGCAGTGCCTAAACTGTTTATATTAAAATGTAGCTGGGCACCAGTGGCTCATGCCTATAATCCTAGCTACTTAGGAGGCAGAGATCCAGGAGGATAGTGGTTTAAAGCCAGCCCAGGCAAATAGTTTGCCAGACCCTATCTCAAAAAAACCTTCACAAAAGTAGGGCTAGTGGAGTGGCTCAAGGTGAAGGCCCTGAGTTCAAGCCCCAGTACCATCCAAAAAAAAAAAAAACCTTGCTTTCCTTTTGAGACTCTGGGATTTTGACACGTGTGGCAGAAGATGCATACCTAACTAACCCCCAGTAAAATTCCTAAATGCTGAGTCTCTAGTAAGATTCCTGGATTGGCAACATTTCACAAATTGTTACACTCATTGCTGGATAGCTAAACTTGCCCAGTGTTACTCTGAAAAGGTCCCTTGGAAGTTTGCACCTGATACCTCCCACTTTGCTCAATGTGCCTCTCCTATCATGGACTCTGTTTGGTGTACTTTTGGTAAAATAAATCACAGTCATGACTACAAGCTCCAGCTGAGCCCTCCTGGTGAATTACCATTTGAAAGTAGTCTTGGAGGCCTTTGTTACTGGACTGGGCTCCCAAGCTGAGATCATGAGTGACATTACTGATTCTCTTGCTGACTTTCATCCTCCTCTCAACTCCACACCCAGCTCTGAGAGTCTTTCAAGCTGTGGAGATGGATTTGTGGGGGAGAATATTTCAGACAGCTCTATTGGATGGTGGGGATGGAGAAGGCAACAGGATTATCTGACCCAGTGCTGAGCCTCTTTTATCCTGCAGAAGAGGATCAGGCACTTTGGCTTGCTCAGGCTTGGATGTCCCACTCACCCACACAAGCAAACCAGTGTTGTGACAGAAGGTATCTGAAACCCTATAGTTTACAGAACTACTCTGTCTGGTGGGAAGGGATCTGAGAGCAATTTCTCCAAAGGAAACCAAGGCCCAGCTTTGTTATGAAAATGTTGCTACTGCAACCATGCACTGTGTGTTCCCATTACTACTGTTACCTCATGTCTCCATCTCTTTCCCACACCAGGTCACGAGGCCCCTGAGTGTGGTGCTGCATTTAGACACTGTATAGAACAGATCTTACACACTCCAGGTTATGTGACTCATTGAGGCAGGAAAGAGGTCTGGTTTCAGGTCTCTCTTGCTAGGGAGAAGCTTGGTACACAGCATGAATAAAATTCCATGCAGTCCAAACCCGGAATGCTTAGGAATAACCAAACTGAAAGGAATGTGCACAAGGTGGGCCCTTAACAAAACTCCAGCCAGCTGTGAGCCCCACACATAGCTTTGTTTTTCTGCCCCTAGATTTCTTCCTTTGTTTTTTTCTTTTCTCCAACTTGAGCCACACTTATAGCCCTAACCTTGGATTTCTTCTTAGGCACAGAGCACTCCTGCCCCAGCTAGCATCAGCTAGCAGACCAGAAGGAACCAACTCCAAGATTTTACCCCTTTACTCATAGTAGATATTGGAAATAAACAAAAGGATGGCAACAGATAAGAGAGATGATTTAACTTTATAAAATTGTGATAATACAGCAAGATTTGATTGGGTTTTTTTTTCTGGCAAGTAAAGTTCATAAAAAGAATACCTGGAATCAAGATAAACATAACCTAATAAAAATCACAAACATAACATTTCAAGGTAACAAATCATTTAGAAAGATAGTGAAGGGAAAACCATAAGCAGCAAAAGCAGCAGCAAGATGAAGGAAAATCCAGTTTTTTGTAAGGACAAAACCACCAAAGGCCAGTATGAACCTGACCATTGATGCCCCCCTGGGCTTAGAGAGGAAAGGGTGGGCAGCAACTATCAGAGAGGCATGAAGGCCTTCCAAATGGACCAAACCAATGGCCACTGGTTCAGTGGATGGAGGGGGAATACAGGCCTCTTGTAAACAGGCCCATACACAACACCCTCTTGCAGGGCCTACCCATCACATGGCAGTGATCCACAGTCACTGGCACTATAAAGGCTGGCTTCCTCTTCTTTCTACTGTTCCTGACCTGCAGTTCTTCAGGTTACTGTCCCACTGTAGTGAGCTCAGTGGATAGAAACTCAAGACTTAACCTGAGCATAAATGTCAGATTTGCTAGGGAGAAACAAGAAACCTAGATATACAGTGCTGCATACAACGCACTTTTTGAAAGGTCTGCACCAAAGCCAAAGCAGAGTTAGGATCACTTTAGAAAGGCAAGCCAAGAACATCTTGGCAACACTCCTCTAGAGGGAAAGGATGTCCAAAGCATGCTAGGTGAATTCTTGACTACATTCTGAGGTAGTCTAACTTACACAGGTAGCTGAGAAGAGTCACAAAAAAAAAAGAGGAAGGGCAGAAAAGTTTCCTCAGAGAGAAATGGTTAACATCGATAACAGAAGTGGGATAGGAAACAACCAGAATGTGGTCTGGGCTCAGGGGTGGCTGGTAGCAAGGTCCACATAGACCTTCAGCACATGGATCTTCCTCTACTTGCTGTGGCAGCAGTGTGGCAGAAGATGAGAGAATCCATAGAGGGATTTCCTGGCCCAGAGCAGTGGTGCTCTGAGGTGAGGGGTGTTGGCCTTAAATGCCTAGACCCCTGCAACTAAGTCATGTCAAAATGGTGATAAGTCAGACAATTGGCTTTGGGCTGAGGAGTCCCAAATTCCCCTTCAACTCACTCCTCTAAACAGGACATGCTGTGTTTGGGAGACTAATACTGCTAGACTTCAGCTTGGAAAGCACTTGAGCGGTCCCTGAAGGTAAGGGAGAAATCAAATTCCAAGCCACCACTGAAAAAGAAATTACAAAAACAAAAAAACAAAGGTGGCCTACCCTTTTTTTTTTCTTAATGCTAATTTATATTCCTTTTCTCTTCTGCCCCAGCACTTAGAATTCTAAGACAGGATGGAATGTTCTGTGCTCATTCTGTGAATGAGATGTGCAAAAATGCTCTAGTATTTTCTCTGCTTTCCATATTTCCATGAACGCCTTCTAGGACGGAGCTCACCAAAGTCTTCGACTTCATTTTCATAATCATCTTCCTGAACAACACCTATTTAAGAAACAAAAAACAGAAATAAGGTGAAGAAGATAATTTTTTCCTATTCACTTTAAAGCTTAATTTCCTGGTAATCATTGTTTTGAATTAAATAAACAAAGGTTTTCAACAAGATGCCAAAAAGAAGTTTCCTTTGAATATTAATTCCCAAGAAGAATCAAAGCAAACACTTTTTTTCTGGAATTAAATTCTATATAGAGTGGTTACTCTGACCTTATTTTAGAGAACCCGATCTGACTATGAGGGTTTGACTATTTGTTTTAAAGAACAAATAAGTCAAAATCTAAACTCAACCATAGCATGAATTGATATATCAATTTTATCTTTTTTAAACAATCATGAAATCATAATTCCAAGAAGGGCTGTCTAGTGCTAAAGATTTTTGTATTGGCACAGACATTTATGACAAGCTCCTTCAAGTTCTCCCCAGCTATAGGGCCTGGATTAGGACTTGGAAGGGCACCAAAGGCTGGTGAAATACTTGAAGCAAGAAGAAATGTGGTCCAGTGATGAAGGGGTAGCAGTTGGAAAGGGCAAGAAGGAAAATATTCTGCATCACACAGAACTTGGTAAGGAAATCACACCTGTAATCCTAGATACTCAGGTGGCAGAGATCAGGATGACTGTGGTCAAAGCCAGCCAGGCAAATAGTTCATGAGACCTTATCTTGAAAAAACCCTTCATAAAAAAGGGCTGGTAGAGTAGTTCAAGGTGTAAGCCCTGAGTTCAAGCCCCAGTACCACAAAAAAGAAAATTCTGACTGCACAAAGAAACGACTTACTCTACACAAGCCTGTAGCCCTCTATAGAAAGATGCCTCCAAGCTTCCCCAAGGACTTTGTTTTGTTCCCAAGTGTATTCTCAGACCCAGAATAGCACTCACTGATACATACTAGACACTCAATAAATATCCACTGATTTATATGAATGATTTCCCAGACAAACATATTTATCAAGGGATAGCTTTGCAATACTTTGTCTATCCTTGAGAGTCACAGTAATGAGTATGCTCAGTGACTGAACATAATTAGTAACAACTCATAAACAGCAAAAGAAGTTTTTAGCAACTAACATGAGCCCAGAATAATGGCCCTCATAGTCAGATCGGGAAATTATTTTGTTGACAATTTGACTTACAGAAGGGGGTACAGGAAGGTGATGCTGGGCAGGGAGATGCCACTTTTGACATCTATGGCAACCCCACTATAGACTCATCTGGGAATCAGCAGTATTAAGAACCATAGTATCCAAAGGATCACCTGTCTCTGGAGCAAAAGACTTCTTACCTTCTTCCTTTAAGCAGAGCTCTGTCTTCATCAGCCACTCCTGTGCGTCCCTGACTGACAGGGCCAGAACTTTCACCTGCCGCATCATCACCTCTTCTGCTATAGAAACCAAAGAACAGATGCTCTGAGTGAAGAGGCAGCTGCAAGCACTATAACATCAAGCACTTGGTCAATGCTCTGTGTCCTAAGAGCTAGTCTGTGCTTTCCTTGAAGAGAGCCTCCTTTCTGGGTACAGATTCCAAAGCTGCATTCTGTACTATGAGCATAACTGCCTGTAAATGGTAGCCCCACACCATTACTATGTGTCTGTAGAGACTGTCAAGAGCAAAACTTTTAAGGAAGCTTGTGTCCAAATCATATTTAAATCCTAAACTGGAAAAAGTTGTCTGCATTATACATTGTTTTTTTAAAAATGCAGTTCCACAAGTTTTATATATAACTTCCACTTAGTGTCACTAACAGGTAGCTAGCTAGGCAAAAGCTGATTCTAAAACCACAGAATAATTTTATTATTAAAAGCTCTCACTGGGTATGACTTAAGGGAACATCTTAAGAAGAGACCAGCTATGCACTTCCAATCCTGACTCTAGGGTTCAGCACCCAGTAGGTTCTCAAGAAAAGATGTACGCATGAATGAATCAGAAGAGCCTCAGAGTTTTCTCAATATTTTAAACATTCTCCCTAAATGTCCTCCATAGAATTAGTTAGCAAATCTTTTTCTATCTGCAATGCCTGAGCAAATCATCCTGGTCAAAGATAATCACAAATTTTTAATTGGGCAAGAGGTGGTCCAAACAATGAGATTTCACTGTAATTTGAGAATAAACATACTTTGCTTGTATTTCTTCTAATGCAGGTACTTGTACTTCATCCCCAAGTCAGATGTCATAAAGAACGTAATTCAGCATTTAGCAGGCCCTTACCTTCAGCCCAAGCCTTTCGCCTGTAGAGTTCCTCCACCAAGTCTGAAACCCTCCTGAGGTGCTCCTGGACTTTCCTCTGCAGCATGTGGCTGTGCTCTTTAGAGCCTAGGTGACTGCAGACCCACACGTTCTCCTCAATGTCCTGCACTACCAATTTGCCTTTGCCAATGACTGGGTCCACCTTCTCATGGAAAAATTCTGAGTATTTCTGGTAGGCCACTTGTTGTTTCTGGTGGCTTTCCAGGTAGATGTGGTGCTCATAAGACTCACTGCTCCTCTCCTGACATTCTTTCCCTTCCAGCTCAGCCCTGGAAAGGATGACAACCTCTGAGGCCACTCCCTCAAATGCTTTGCTAGGGCTGAAGTAGTTCTCAGGGCTGCGGGTGAACTTCACTCCACACAGATCACACTGAGTCCTATCCACATCGGCCCTTTTGAAGTTTCCCACACTGGACTCCCTGGCCTCCTCCCTGACACGCTCAGCCTGGACCCATCTCCTCCAGCTAATGCACAGAGATACCACCAAGCAGACTCTTCGCAGCTTGCGCTGGATGGAGGCCTTCCACTGCTTTTGTGAAAGAATGGCAGCCAGAAGGTGGTCTCGGTCCTCCAATGCTAGCTCATCTGTCTCATCCTGATCAAATTCACACTCGGATTCAGCAAAGTGGTCCACGGGGCCCACACAGAGCAAGCGGTTCAGTCTGACCTCCTCATGACAGAGTCCATGGACCACAGAGCCTTTGGTATGGACACTGTCCCACCGCCAGTGGCAGTCCACCAGGTACTCTTCATCCCGCTCAAAGAGCAGGTCCTGCAGTGCCTCAGCCACAGACTTCACACTGACTGCCACCAACACGCGCCTCACCACCTTCTGAAGCCTCTCAGGAACCTGGCCTGGCCAGTCCATACTCATCAGCTGCAACCTTGTCTCAATCTCCTCAAAATGACGGTACAGAAGTTGCTTGCAGAAGGGCTGCAGGACTTCCTCAGCATTTACCAACATCACCAAACACAGCACCAGTGTCCGCTCAGCCTCACCTGAGACCACAAAGTCTATTTCACTGAAGGCGTCAAGCAGGACATTGAAATTCACATTCTCATAGCCACACAGCACCTTGACAAGGTAGGAGAGGTGGAACCGGAAGTCCTGAATGGCTCTGGCGACATCCTTTGGCTTGTATTCCTGAATGATGGAGAAGATGTCCCCAAGCTCCTTGTCCTTCTTGCTGGTCAGGAACTCCCAATAGTGTAGGAGTGCGATGTAGCTCTTGGGGAGGCACAGGACGGCATTCTTCCAGAGGCGGGCCAGCACCACCCCACAGTGGATGAACTGGAACTCTAGCAGTGCTACTGTGTTGCCAATGCTGGGGATAAGCGGTTCTTTGCACCTCTTGATGAGGACATTCATAAAGCGGAAAAAGAGCCTCTTGTAGTCTTCTGGATTCCTGTGCATGTACAGCTGGTCAATGGAATTCTCCAGCAGCCGAATGAAGCACAGATGGATCTTCTCTGTACCTTCATCCTCCTTGTTGGGCACCAGCATGCCAAATTTCCCTTCTATTCCTTTCATTCGGCTACCTCTCCCCCTGCCCCGTTCCTCTTTGTCAGACTCTAGAGCTTTTAGCTCCCTGTTGTAGTTGTCCTCCTCCTGGTGGAGAAGCTTCTCAAACTCCTCAGGGTAGCTGGAGGCGAGAAGGAAAGCCTGCATGGCGCTCAGCCACAGGTCTGTGGACTCCCGGCGGCTGCGTGCACTTTCACTTTGAAACAGATTGCGAATGTACTCTTTCAAGGCAAACCTGTAGAATCGGAAGGATTTGTAACTTGGTTTGAGGATTTCTTTGCATGCCATAGGATTTTCTGACAGCACTCTCTGATGAAAATGCCTAGGGAAGAGGACATTTAGGAAAGATCTGCAAAGGTCATACATTTCTGCAGACAAAATACAATCTATTTCTTTAAGCTCTTCAGCTAAGATTTTAGGGAATACTTTTTTGGCTTCCAGAAGCAATCCATTGATTGCCACCAGGTGCATTTTTGACTGAACCATACACTTGGCCTCACAGCGCCGCAGGGGCCTGTGAAAATCTTCACAGTTTTCATCCTCACATTTTAAGCCTGCAATAAACCTCATGCAGACTCCTGGGTAGGTCTTCCCAAGCAGGCTCTGTGTGATCTGACACAGCCTGCTCAAAAGGTGCTTGTTAAGGGCTAATTTCACTTGGTCAGTCACTATCAAGAAATGATCTTTTGTTTTTTTCTCTTTTAAGTTCAAGTCCAGGTCAAAAATTATTCTTAATATGGGCCCAGGGTCATTCTGAGCTATCTGGCAATACTTGGCATCCACCTGGGAAATCCCAAAAAACTCAAAGCAAGACTTGACCATTTCCTTTTCAGCATTATTAGTCACTCTTTTGAGGGCCCTGACCAGATTGAGAAGGACTTCCAACCCCTCTGGAGCCAGGGCCAGAACCTTCTCAGGCTCAGTCTCACACTGGCTGACTGCTTCATAGAGTGCTTCTACCACTCCAGCTGAGTGGTTGAGCATGTCAAACTTGAGGAGAGCTTCTTTAAGTTTCTGAAAGTCTCTCAGGATGACCCCCTGCAGGAATTGGGCCTCTGCAATGCCAGACAGCTGGTTGGTTTGATAGCAGAGATCAAGTGCTTCTCTTAGAATGGCCTTAGTATGTTCTATGTCAGAATCTCTGGCCACATTGAGGCGAGCAACCCCCAGCAGACACAAAGCCTGGAAGTCCTTGTCAGCAGTGAGCCTGGCAGCCTCCAGGAGGCAGCCATGTTGTTTCATCAACAGGGCTGCCTCTTCTCTCCGACCCTCCCTGTTCAACAGGTCTGCAGCTTCTGCTAGGCGCTTCCGAGATTTGAGGAATACCAGTTGGTCTTCTACATCTAGCTTTGAGAGAACAGCCATCATTTCCTTGGTCTTATTTGCACTCAGGTACTTTGCTGCAGCTTCCAGGTAAAACTGACTGGCAGAATAGGAGAGCTTAGAAATGGGAAGGGTCTTGGTCTTTAGCATTTCTTCATATCTGCAAAGACAGGTTGCAAATATCAAGTTACCATCACTGAGCCAATAGGAAGTTTCCTCCAAAATGTAGTATGAAGCATCTTAAATAAAGCTCACACATGTAGATATTACAAAATAGTACCTAAACATGTCAAGCACTTTTATAAGTGCTTCATTGTACAGTTATTACTATAATAATTAATAATAAACTCTTTATTCTTCAAAAGAATGAGGCATTCATGTGCTTAGTTTATGAAATGCAGCAGAGTTACAGCTCAAGCAAGTGGGAGTTAAGTCTGAAAGACAGACTAGTCTACAGGGCAAAATTTGTGCACAGTCAAAATGATCCTTGGAAAAAAAACTCTTTGACACTCAAGAGCATGATAATCATTTTGGGTATATGATTTCAATAAATTTGAATGTGATAAATGAGAAAGGACGAAATGGGTGCTATGTACACACATTAGCAATTGCACCAGTCTTTGTCTTGTGATTCTTCTCTTTTGCCAGGTGTGCATGTTTTTGGATTCAAGCAAGACTACTGAAGCTCCCCAGTCCTATTTATACTGATGCTTGAAGTCAGTATATCCTGTTACAAACACATTAATACATCCTTCATCTCTTTAGCCCTCTCTCATCATGACACTGTGTCAAAGCTAATGAAGAAAGGGGAAACACAGAGTCCTGCTCCCAAGGAGGTCCTGACCCAGCACCAAGGCCACCACTGGAATGGAAAGAGATGGACATGGTCAAGCCAATGAAGAAGGATCAGGATAGCCATCCAGGGCAGGCTGCCCCCAAGAGAGAAGCAGGAGGAAAGGAGGGAAGTACAAAAGAATAAAACCACCTACTTTTCCACTGCAATAGCAGCTTCCTCAAAAAGCTCCTCTTGGCAGTACATTTTGAGTGCTAGATCAAATTCCTGAATCTGCTCAAAGCATCGGAAAGCATCTTTGTAGCACTGGCTTCGCTTATAGAAATAGGCAGCATCTCTTATCTAGGACAGAGTAAAATTTTCCTTTTATTTAGAGTATATGTAACTTTTATCTTAAAAATAAACCAGTATCATGAATAATAAAGAGGATGGTCATATTCCTGCTAGTTTATCTAAAATTAAAACTACTGAAATATAGATGATATTAGAAAAATTAATTTTTCTGGTTGTACTAGGGATTAAACCCAGGGTCTTGTGCTTGCTAGGCAAATTCTCTACCAGTAAGTCACGATCCCAGCCCTTTTTGCTTTTAGTTTTGTTTTTCAGATAGGGTCTCATGTTTTTGCCTGAGCTGACTTTGGACAGTGATTCTAACACCTATCTCTGCTCCTGGAATAGCTGGCATTACAATAATGCACCATGATGCCAGGCTTCTTTTTTGGGATAGAATCTCACTAACTTTTGCCCAGGCAGGCCTCTAACCTCTATCCTTCTGTCTCTACTACCTGAGTAGCCAGGATTGTAGGCATGTACCACCATGCCCAGCCCTAGAAAACTAATTCTTTATAAAATATAGATAAAAGTTAAATCTCATTTCACATCATACAAAAAGGTAATCTCCTGGTGTATTAAATATTTAATTGAAATTTAAAAATTGAGAGGAAATATATGAGATTATCTTTGTGACACAGAGATAGGGGTAGATAAAGTCTTCAACAAAACTTCAAATACACAAACTTCAGGCAACAAATTAATGGATATGATGATTTTTTTAAAACGGCACATGAAATAGAATTAATAGAAGACAAATTTTAACATCTAGATCAGCACTGTCCAATCTGCTAGCCTCTAAGCACAACTGAATATTGACACAACTGAATATTGAGCAACTGAATTTTTAATTTTATTGAATTTTAACTATTCAGATAGCTACATATGGCTAAGGGCTACCACACAAGACTTGATAGATTTAGAACATAAAAGAGATTTCTACAACCACAACAGAAAAGACTTCTTTAGAGATACAACAGAAAACTAGGCAAGGGGTATAAACTGGCAGTTTGCAATAAGGGAAACTTGAATAACAAACAAATAAATGAAGATACTCAGAACCATCCTCATCACAGACTGCAATGCCCTGCAGAATCTGCTCCTGTCACCCTCTCTTGCTCATGGCACCATGTCTACCTCCTCGCTGGGTTTTGGCCAAACTAGCTTCCTGGCTATTCTTCAAACTCACCAAAATGCTCTTACTTTAGGACTTTTGCCTGCAAGGGGTTGTCCTGTGAGGCTTTCCATTAGCTGTCCTCAGTATTTTGCTGAAACGTCAGCTCTCTGACCTTCAGTCTAACATAGCAATGCATGATATCCCCTCTTCCCCTCCCATGCTTTCCTCATAACCATTACATTTCACATATTACTTGTTTATTTATCTTTTTCTTATGTAGGAAAGGGAAGCTCTGGAAAGACCTCTGCTTTGTGGCCTCTGGTCACTCAGCTTCCAACATGCCTGGCACAAGGGCACTACCCATTCGTTGAATATTTAATTTCAAAATTCTACTTGCTACACCTGAGGCCCACAGAGGAAACAAAATAAAAGTGAAATAGGGCAAAATATATGTGCCAGCTCCCCTGGAAAAACCTGATTTTTCATAGTTTCTTTTATATCCTGAGACCTCATAGATCAGAGAGTTCCTAGACCACTCTCAGCCACGTCAATTAAACTCTATAACCAGTACATTTAACCAGCCCTCTCTTTTCTTCTCTTTCACAATGCTCATGACTCAGAAGAAAAACTCCTGTGTATAAACAAAGGTGCTGAATGTGTGCCCAATTGGAGGGAGAGAAGAAAAGGCTGGCTCTAAGAGTTAGCTCTCTACTCTGTCTCCCTGCACCAGAAGGAGGCCCCATCTGCCATCCAGGGCAAGACCCTAGAAAGGATTCTGGGTAAACCAATGCTGCTCTACGGAGACAGGCAGGAGAGGCCCAGGAACCTCTGAAAGGAAATTTCATATCCCCCCAGCACCCACACAAATATTTCTTCCCTGGGTAGTATACATTACCAGAAAGACAATTTGGCTTGAGGATTTAGGCAAAGGCTGCTGCCAATTTGAATCTTGCTAGTCAAATGGGGTGGCATGATCACAGTAGGTCTGACACTGGCTGATGGTTTAATAACCTTCTGCAGAGGGGCCTGAGCAAAGACAGGAGGCTGATTCCTCTCTGTGTCAGGCACACAGTTATTAGGTTATACTGGTGAGAGAAGGGAGAAGCTTGGAGTATGGCTCTACACTTGAAGGTGCTGCAGCTATGGAGAAGGGTGTATAACCTCCGCTCATTGTCTCCTGGTTGCCACCACTCCCACTTTCAGAGGTAGAGCCTGGCAGGCTGGGAGCAGTATAGTTAAACAGACAAGGTAGGAATGTCTGGCTCAGCCATGGCAGGCACCAGAGTTAAAAAGCGCAAAGTGATAGGCATAGGTTTGTCTCCTGGAGCCACTGACAATAGAGTACAAGGTGGTGGCACTAAAGATTAAAGGGTATAAATTAAAGAACCTGGAAAGACTAGAGACTATCCTAGCTTCCCAAACTTCCACCCACACTGAGATGCCTTCTCCAATGTCCCCATTCCATCTCCATCTCCTACAACCCAACAAGTTCATCCCATAATAAACATGAAGCTAGACAGGTAGCATTGGGAGGCCTTATCTTCTCAGACACTTACTAGGGGCTACCCTTCACGCTTCCTGGTAGATTCCACACCCAGGGTGCTCTCAAGAACCCAAGAGTTACCACACTAACACTGACATGGAAACCCATCTTTCTACTGAAGGGTCATAAAAACTGGTACAGGAGGAAATGCAACAGCTTACAGTTTGATGCTCTCAAGCACAGCTTCTCCAACTACCTGTGGTAGAGGACCAGACTGTTTCAAATTTCTAATCCATCAAAACTGATATATTAAAAATGAATCACTAAGAAAATGATTACTACTTGGATGTCACAGTAATGCTAAATGGCTATACAAATTTCTAACTGTTTACTTCCCTCTTCTGTATTAATCTGGTTGCAGACAAACAGCAGTTTGTGGCCCACTGCCAGATTACTAACCATACTCTGTGAGAAGCTGTGCTCCAGATCTGCATCCTTGTCCATCAGAGCTTTCTACAAGGATGGAAATAACTCTGAGCTCTTGTACTGAGGATGAAAGTGTTTAATGTTATTACATTTTAATTAATTTAAACTAAATAGCCATATGTGGCTGCTGTATTAGACAGTGAAGATCTAGAGTAACTATTGGAAACACAAAAAACCTTGCTCGTAGTACTCACCTGACTCAACTCCAGACTGTAAACATAGGGAAAGAGAAAGCAACAATATTCTAAACACACTGCCCTTTGGTTTAAACATTTGACCTTCTTGTGGTTAATATTAACACAGACATGGAAGTACACACACACACTTCAGAGCCTTCTAAAAGCTTGAGCAAGTAAAGGAAAAAAAGGGCCACCCATAGAGATAGAGTGGACAGGGCCAGCCTCTTGTTCCTTGGAGGACTGGGGCCTCTTCCTGATGCAAGCAGATCTTGAGGGGTTCACCCCTTCATCTGCTCAAGTGAAGTCCAGTTTTCCTAGAAACACCTGTGGGCTGGAGGCCATACCTTTCCCAGTCTCTCACACAACTGGGCAGAGAGCTGGAATTCCTTGGCATAGCTCAGACATTTAAGGGACAGTTTTGGCTCACTGCACTCCAAATAGGTTTTAGCCAGTTCCAAATACTCCAATTGTTTTTCCCTGGGGGAAAGAAAACAAAAACAGTATTCCCATGAAATATTAACATAACACTAATATATTTAACCTGCTGCTTTTATCAAAGCAAATCTGAAATGATCTCAAGACACTTACTTGGGGCTGACTTTCTTGGATTTCATGCTCAGGGCCGTGTTGTGGGCCAGCGCCAACTTCTCCTTCTCAAATGCACCTCCTTTCTGGTAACACTTAGCTGCAACCTGAACGGGCCAAAGGTGTTTATTCTCAGTAAGGTAACAAAATTGACAAATAGGACAGGAGTTAAAGCATGCATTATGTTTGTACGGACACAGCTCTGCATCTCACCCCGCCCAATCTATGAGACAGGAGCAGGAAAAGTGCAGGCTTGCTAAAGAGAGAAGCCTCCAAAGACAAAGCCCAGAGGTGTGACCACTTAACACACCCAAAGGTTTCATTAGGAAGAAGCTAGAAGCCATGGAAAAGGTACATAGTACATATTTCTATAGGCCACCACAGTAACAACCTTGTGTAATCCTCCAACAGCCACATGCAAGAGGCATCCTTCTCTTTGTACATAGTACAGTGGTCAAAGTCATTGCAGCAATTGGCCCAAAGTTACCAGTGGCTTTTCTGGGTTTTGACACAATTGCTAATTACAATGGCTACCTGTGTGCTGGTGGAACAGTCACAGTGCAGGTAGTGGGGGAGAGATGGCACCAAAGCACATCTAGATCCTCAGAGCATGCAGATCTATGTTACCAAATTCTCTCACTATGAAGTATGCAGATGAGTGTCACAGGGAGTCAGCCTGTACCCTAATCCTGGCCAGAAAAAGTTTTTTTTTTTTCTAAAACAGGAGTACTTGCACCATGTCTCAAAACATAGGATACAAGAATAGAAAAACCATTCTGCCTAGTGTTGGGTCTTAGGGTAGACATGGGAAAGATTAAATGGCACTTGCTAGTAAAGTGGACAGGATAGCCTCTCTTCCCCTCATGCTCTTTGTTCTAGCATTCCCAGCTCCTCAGGCCTCCTTTCATTTCCAATGACCTGTATGTACCATACTCTTCCTTGTGTAATTTGCACAAACTATTCCTTCCAATTGAAATCGTTTCCTATCCTTTCTCTGCCTAATTAACTGCATTTACTTTACAGGTCTGTGATCAAGACTCCCTTTACTCAAAGAAGGTTTTCTTGCCTCCCTGTCCAGGACAGGTGACTCTGGGGCAGCTGGTCTCTTATATGTGGTGCCTGCAAGAGCTAGGCTGTACACTCATCTATGTGCCTGCTTTGCTCACCATAATATTCCTGGGATCTAAGCATAATGTTTGGCCCACATCTCAACAAGTATTTGTTGAATGAATGATCTTGTATGGTGGTTCTGAAACATTCATTGACATGCAGCCAAAAACTCAATAAACCACCTGAGTCCTGAAGTCCTTTAGCGGGGTCAAAATAAAGTCAGGCGAGGAGAAGGCTTTTTATAACATGTCTCATCTGTGCCGGCTCCCCTAAAAAGATTTTAGATTCAAACATTCAAAAGGTATTTTTAAAGGGATAAATAATTGGAAATCCATGGGCAACACATATGGGCAACACCAATGGTGTTCTGAAAGGAATAAAGGGTAAGATTTTATATAGTTCTCCAATTTCATACCTATACCCATACCTGCTGCCCATCATATCTCTCCCTTCCCTCCCTACCACCCTCCCTTCACCCCACCAAAAAAAAAAAAGAAATTTTGGTTTTACAAAAGCAGCCAAATATTCAGCATTTCTGTCCAATTATAGCAAAGATGAGCATTGGGGCTCAATCAACTTCTGCAACTAAATATTACATATTTTAAAAACTACTCTCTAGATATACCCATACCTACTACCATGAAAATTCTATCTCCTCACCTCACATAATAGATTACAAACGTGACCACTCTTCCCTATCTCTGCCCACTCCCCTTTACAGTGTAACATGGCAGCTTCCCATCATGAGTGCTTCTTATCTCCCCTCTATTCCAATGTGGAATATGACTTGTTTAGCCAACAGAAATCAGCAGAAGTATCACTGGGCCTGTTCTAAGGCCTGGCCTCAAGAGGGTGCATGTACTTCTGCTCACTCTCTTTGAACCATGGTTTTACATGAAAAGCACAGAATAGCCTGCTGGAGGATGCAGGATGGGGTGACCTAGGATCCTGTAAACCCATCACCAGAGCCAAGAACCAGCCAATTCCCCTGAAGCAGACTTACCTAGTCAGCTGGCAGCTGAATGCAGACACACAAGTTGCCCCACCTGAGCCCAAAAGAACTACTTGGCTGAACTCACATTGCCATCTTATAGAACTAGGAGCAGCATAAGCCACTAAATTTTTCAGGGGTGTTTATTATGCAGCAACAGTAATTGATAAACCCAAGATAGGAGTTATTTGTTATCAATGTAAACCATTTTCCCTGTCATGGCAGAGAACTATTCTAAGAATTAGGGCTGAGGAAACTTTGGGAACTCCTTCTCCCAGGCATGTGAGACACAGACACCTCACACACTACTGACTTGTAGTCATCACTCTGCACTGCCCAGTGCCTTCACTCATGCCCAGCTCTATAAAACTCTGGCTCTAAAAAACCAGAGCATCAGAACCAGCTTTCCAGAGAAATCACAGTCTCAAACCATCTGTTCAGAAGTAGAAGAGAAACCACAGGCATTCTTCCTATAACACTTGAGGTGATTAACCCCAACATGAGCACTGAGGCATGGAAGGAAAGAAAGCCATCTGCCCAAATCCAGCCTGGCTACTCTTTCAAGGAGCATTGCTGCAGTTGCTAGTATAGGCACCCAGGTGCCTGGGAAGTCAAACCCTGGGGAAGTGCATTCCTGTGGGGCTCTACCTGTGATGGCAGACACTATTGATTATGCAAGGCACTCTGTTCCCTTTCTTGCCAGATGGTAGAACCTATACCCATAAAGAGCAGAAAGAGATAGATGGGACTGTACTCCCAGAAGCCCTTGCAGCTAAAAAAGGACATATGACCTAGTACTGACCAATAAGAAGCATAAGGATGTCCACTGGGGACTTTAAGATTAAAACAGAGTGATAGAGAGAGAGAGAGAGAGAGAGAGAGAGAGAGAGAGAGAGAGAGAGAAAGATCAATCCAGGGGAAGCAAGTGCCTTCCTTTCATTCCTGCTTTGGTTGCTTCTGAGGAGATTAAGGTGCTTGACGCTGCTGCAGCAGCCATTATGTAGCTATGAAGAGAACATCTTTGACACACTGCAGATTACACAGAAAAAGATGGAGTAAGATTGGGCCCATGTTGACTTTGCTGAACTGCAAATCCTAAAATCAGACTTATTGTTATAGGATTTAACATTTAAAATCATCACTACTCTTCTAGTAGGGTGTTTGCAACTTGCAAGTGAAGATAGCATCTCTACTACCTTGTTGGAGGTATCTGCCTTGGTGCTGTACCTGAGACCCTGTGATGTGTATTGGTGTGATTATGGGAAAAGTGATGGGCCTGCTACAGAGACAGTGTTTCCTGGAAGAAGACTGCTCAGGCTCACTGATATGGCTTGAGGCTGGAAGTTAGTCATTTCAGTCCAGTGTGGTAAAGCTTCAGCCATGCTCACAGACTCAGAGTGGCAGTAAGTTTATGTCTGCTCCATTTGAAAACAACAAACAAGAGACCAAAGTGTTGCTGCTTTACAATGCAGTATGATGATAGCAAAACTTTTTAAGCACAGAAGGGAAAGAAAATAAATAGGAGTATTCCTTGATGGGACACAGGCCATGACCCTTCTCCACTTATCTATCAATATATGCTGGCATTTAGCCAAAATGAAGGGCATACCTACACTGACAGGGGAAGAGAACAGGTCAGAGAGTACTCCTCATCTTGGGAAAACCTGATGATTCAGAAGAAGTGGCACAAACACTTTTGTCCTCACCCCATCCTGCTGATATGTGATGGTGGAGACTTGCCTATGAGGCTTAACAAAGTGAGCAGTCATGAAGATTCCTCACCCCTGGCTCTTTGCCCAGCCCCTTACCTTCCAGCACTGGTGCTTGGCATAGTATTCTCCTTGCGTGATCCACTCCTCCGGAGTTGAGGTCTTAACAAACATGCTATCATCAAAGTCTAAAATGAAAAAGGAAGGCAGGTTTGCTTCTCTGGGCATTCAATCACTTACACCTGTTGTTATGGGCTGAATTATGTTCCCCCAAAATTTATGTATTGAGGTCCTTAACCTCTATTTCCTCAGAACATGACTGTTCTTAGAGAAAGGGCCATTAAAGAGGTGATTTATTTAAATGAGTCCTTCAGGGTGAGCCCTAATCCAATCTGACTGGTGTCCTTATAGAGGGAAGAAATTTGGAAACACACACACAAAGAGGAGCCCATTTGAACAGAGGAAAGACTTATGAGGTCACTGTGAGAAGGTGGTCATTTATCTACAAGCCAAAAAGAGAATCCTCAGAAGAAATCAACTCAGTCAATACCTTAATCTTGAACTTCTAGTCACTAGAACTGTGAGAAAGTAAATTTCTGTAGCTTGAGCCACTCAGTTTGTGGTATTTAGTTATGGCAGCCACAGCAGGCTAATACACCTCTGTTATCTTTCTAATCTTTGAGATACATTTTAGCTTACTAAGCCAAGTTTGTGTGGGTTTCAGAAGAAAAAAGCAGAAGTGAAAAAGGGCATGGTATGTTTTTAAATTTTTGGTCTACTTTCCTTGGCTATGAATCAGAAGACAGAGAGCAATTACTAATTCTTCCTTGAAAATCCACAGCTAAGTAGCTCTTAGTAAGCTCTCAGGTACAGAGGATCTAGCAAGGACCAAGGCAATAGGATTTTATAGTATAGAGACTACTTAATTTACTGTGGGGTTATATGCCAATAAACTCCATGGTAAATTGAAAATATAATTCAAAAATACACTTAGTACATGTATCCTACCAAATATCATGGCTTAGCAACACAGCACACTGTAGATTGCTGGTTATTCACTCTGTGACTGCATGGGCAGCTGTGACCTGTGGCTTACTGCCACTGCCCAGCATCATGACAGAGTACTGTACCACATATCACTAGCCTGGAGAAAGATCAAAATTGAAAATATAGTTTCTACTGAGTATATATCACTCTGCACCATGGTAAAGTTAAAAAATCCTAGGTCAAACCATCATGGGGCAGAGTCTATTTGTATTTCCAAATGTGCAGACTTTGCCCTTATCACAGCAAGCAATCTGTTGGTGGACATCAACTATTACAACCACCAGCTGTCTGTCCCTTCTGTTTCACACAAGCCCACTGGTGACTATGTCAGTACTCCCCACCCATCGGCCCTCAGAGTATCACCAGCAGTGAGTGACAATACACAGCCTCATGAAGCACAAGAAAGACAGTGACTACAAGGACAATGTCAATAGTCAAATCAGAGCTGAAGGAGCCAGGGATACCCAAGCCAATGGATAGCAACCACAGGAGCAATGAAAGACATACTCAGGTGTAAAAACCACACATTAAGCTTCAAAGTGGATCCTTTCCTTCTCTCCCTCTGCTTGTGCCCTTAGGCATGGTGTAGTGATCTACAGCTTCTTGTTCTGACTCCATGTATTCTATTACTGCCTCTGTGAGATTTTATTCCCACAGCAAAACCCTATGTTATCTCTAAAAAGAGCCAGTGATCTCTGCACTCCTTTCCTTTTAGCTGAGGAGGTAAAGGTTAATGGAGAGAAAGAGTACCTGAACAAGGTTTTATGCAGCTACTCAGGTGGAGAGGTTTTTGAGGAGACAAGTTTTTAAACTCCACGCCTTCAATTTTTCTCATCACCCCACAACAGTCAGGTCCTAGGAATAGAATATTTAATCCTGGCCCCCAACTAAGTCAACAAGAATAATCAGAAATAGACTTCATAAAAGTTTGCTGAGAAATACTCAGGAAGCCAGCAAACTTCTCTACAGCAGCCATGCCCTGCTCCTTCCTCTATCCTTACCAAATTAACTATGGCCTAGAGGCATAGAAAGATAGCAATTTTCTCCTTCATGAAAGGCTGATTATTTCTCTTCACGGTATCCTATCTGGAGAACTTCACTTCATTTTTAATTAGCTAGTCTTTGTAAATTATACAAAAAAATCAAATTCATGATATGATTTTTGTAAACCCTGCAAATAGTATAGCAGGTATAAAGGTGAGAAGCAAAAGGTATCTATATCTACTCAACAATTCCATGCCCACCAGTCCTAGCACCAGAGGTAACCACTATAAACAGTTTTCCTCAGAAATAATATTTGTATCCTTGTATATGTAGCATTTTTCTCTCCATGGACTCTCCTATGTCTGGAGTTGAATAGATAAATATCTGATGAATCCCTTACTATCTGAACTCTACCTCTTGTTGTAAAACTCAAGAGCCAAACAGATTCAGGCAGTCCATTATCCTTCACTGTCTTAACTCTCACAAACCTAATTCTTAGTATACCAACATAGAAACTGAATGAGGTTTGATAGTTAAAGACACTTAAATAGGTGTTTGTATGTAGAAATACACATATACACATTTGTAATCATTCTATTCTGATATATCTTATAGTTTTTTATAGTTCAAAAATATAAAGTTCTTTAAAGTTGGATTGTTCTAGCTATACTGCTTTGCATTTTCCTTTTTTCATGTAATACATCTTGAACATCTTTCCTTATCAATAAATGGAAGTAATCCTTACTCTTTTTTAATGGCTACAGGGTATTCTACAGAAAGAAATGTGTTTAGCCTTTCCTGTTTTGGACACTTAAGCTGCTTTTAGTTTCTTGTGATGAGAAATAGAGCCATGAAATCTTTATTTTGACAGACACTGCTAATCAGCTGCACAAAAGTTCACAGTAATTTGTATTCTGCCAATTGAGACCTTATTTCATCTAACCTTTGCCCATAATACTTGCCTTTAAAGGAAAAATTCAAGGCCTTCCCTGAAAGAGTTAACCCTCTGAATACCACTCAACCACACTTTCCCACACACTTTAACAAATAAATAGGAACACTCTTCCTCAGAAGAGTATAGAAAGAAAAGAAAGTGCTTTAAAAAAAAATAAAAAAGCAATGCCCAAGGCTGGGAGTGTAACTCAGAGGTACAGCATTTGCCTAGCATGTGTGATGCCCTGGGTTCCATCTCCACCACTATAAGACACAAAACAGCAAGAACAAAACAGAAACTACATCCTTTATACCTGGACCACAAGAACAGTTGAAAGAAACATATATTCTCCAACGCTAAGAATATTTCAATGAGATCTTACCTTTATTTTCATCTGTCTTCACAACTTGAACAAAATCTCTTCTAATGAAATATTTGAAAGCAGGAGCCCGTTTCTCTAGGTTTTCATCAAAGATCCAGAGGTTGACCCGAGCCCGTGTGATGGCAGTGTACAGCTGCTTCAGCTCTCCATTGAGGAGCTACCAATAAGATTGAGGGCAAAGATGATGAGTCTTTTGTCTATACTGACAGCATGATATGTTTCAAGGAGCTTACTCTGATTTTGGAAAAATGCAAAAATTTAATTTTAGAGAAGTCCAGCTATGAACAAGATCCCTAAGGGCACCAAAGCTTCAGCAGTGATTAGTGAGGCTGAGAAACTCCATCTCTTTCCACCCCTAAAGAGAAGCATGCATGACATCAGTACAGGAAGACCCTTGAATATGCTATAGTGTTTCCTGCTTTTATTTTGAAATAATTATAGGTTCACTGGAAGTTACAAAGATAGTAAAGAAGTTATAATGATCATGTATCCTTCACTCAATTTATCCCAATGGTACGTTGGTTACACATTGCTGTGACTTGTTTGTAAAAATTAAGCCAGTCATAGGCTTCTATTATAATTACCATTAGTACTAAACTAGTCAAGACCTACTACATCAAAGTTGAACTCAAATCCCAGTATCACCTAAAAAAAAAAAAAGCTAAAAATAGAACTACCATTATATCCAGGAATACCACTCCTGGGTATATATCCAAAGAAACGTAAGTCAGGTCACAATAAGTACACCTGCACATCCATGTTTATTGCAGCATTATTCACAATAGCCAAGCTATAGAAACAGTCCAGATGCCCTACAACTGATGAATGGATTAACAAAATGTGATATATACATCTCTAAATATGTATACACACACACACACACACATACACACACACACACAACTATAGTGGAATATTATTTATCCGTGAAGAAGAATGAAATTTTGTCATTCACAGGAAAAATGGATAGAACTGGAAAACATCATGTTAAGTAAGCCATATCCAGAAAGACAAAGGTCGCATGCTTTCTGTCATATATGAAAGACCCAAATATAAATATAAGCATAATCATATATGCTTATATAGAGAAAACATATTTCCAACAGTGGGACTATCAGAGGAGCCTGGGGAAGGAGGGAAAGAGAATGAAAGAAAGGCAGTAATATTGAAATAGATCACATCTGTGTAGGAGCAAGACAGAACAAAACACACTGAAAACTGATGAACAATAAGGGGTAAGGGAGAAAGAGTAAGGAAGAGTAATACAGGGTGTGAGAATGATTAAAGTACAATATATTTACAGGTAAAATACAAAGGAAAAACCCTACTGAACAATGAAAAGACAAATAATGAAGGATAGGAATGTAAAGCAGGTCATGTTAAGGGAACTGTACTAGTGGGAGGGGGAGAGTAAATGAAGAGGGTAAAAGAGAGTGAGCATGGTCAATGTATTTTCTACACATGTAAGAAAATGGAACATTGAAACCTGTTCAAGTCATTTTAAGAAGCAGAAGAGAGAATGAAGGGAATGAACCAAACCAGAACATATTGTACACATAAATGGAAATGCCACAATGAAACTCCCTGTACAACTAATATATACTAATTTAAAAATTAAAAATAAAATAGAAAATACTTTTAAAAAAAAGATTGAATTCAGGACCTTCTGCTTGCCAGACAAGCACTCTTCCATTTGTGCTATACCCCAAGTCCAAGATACCTGAATAGTAAGATGGCAGAATAGAAGCTTCCTCCATGTGACTCCATGAATGAGAAGAGTAAGAGTACAAGGATGAATTTTATTCCAAAGAGAGAGAGAGAGGAAGTCCATCAGGAATTTCAAAAGAGGCACCAGGATGGCTGAAAAGCCACTGAGAAACAGAAAGGTCACCAGAGAGAAGTTAGGAAATAGCCCATAGCACTAACCCAAGCTCCCTGCAGGGAAGGGTGGTTGGAGGTAGGAAAGGAGAACCAAAGCCACAACAATAATGTAAACCAGGTGGCCCTGGAAACAGACAGGGAGTCCTAGCTACAAAATAAGTTGACCGTCCTTGTAAGTTTTAATCCAGTGTGGGTTTTGGTGCAACAATGACTCCTCCTATGTCACAGGCTAGCATTGAGGAGGAAATTAATTTTTTCACTCCCCATATCTTAGTAGCCAGGTACTATCTCAAGACTATTATTTGAGACTAAGCTAGTCTTGCCACCTAAAAACAAGGACCAATTACAGGCTGGGGAGGCTGGGGCCACCCCATACACACATACAGTATTGGGGTGGAACACAGCCAGGAGAGGTAGCTGTGGGGAGGGGAAGGGTTGCATTCAGACCCAGTGAGAAATCTGGGCAATGTGGAGTTGGTGTGGTAAAGGGTATAGGATTAGTGGTTCTGCCCTCTGTGATGAGTAGCAAGTCTCATTACTTGTGTATCACCAGAGAATAAGAGATCTAACCGAAGCCCATGACCAAAGGTTTGCTCAACCTTGGGAACTATCTCCTTATTGAGTGTGGTTGCTGCCAGGCAGGACCAAGAGTTCTGAACCCAGGTTGAGCAGAATATGCTATTTCTCCAGCTTCTTCCTGTAAGTTGATTTATTGCTGGGTGGAATCTGAAAGCTCTGAGACTGGCAGGCACATCTCCATGTTTCCTTGGTTTTCCCCTTTTTCCTACAGTACAGATATCAGGGCTGTATTTGCTCCCCCCACATTCCTATGCACTTCAGAGAAATCCACAGGCTTGGACATTTGCCACATCTGGGATAGAGGCTGGACGGAGAGGAAAGTTGTCCAGACTACAGGTTGCAAAGTTCAGGGAGATGCTCTCATACTTTAGCTACACCCCCAACCCTTTTGGGAAGCTTGCAAAGTGAATGGAGCCCTAACACTGACAACTGACCCTTGACTGGTCCAGTCTGTCCTCAGCTGACAGAGTTGTTTTATCCTCTTTTGAGGGTACTAGAGATTGAGCCCTAAATAGAAGATTGCTCACTAAGAAGTCAACCTGACAAACTTGGAAGAGATACCCATCAAAACAGATGTCCAAATCACAACCTACAAGTAAAAGAAACACAAAAAAGCAAGGCAATATGACTCCTCCAAAAACCCACACCTCCAGTATAAACAACTCTAAAGACACCAAAATGACTGAAATGCCAAAGAATTAAAAGTCTACTTTTAAAAGTGATCAATGACCTCAAGGAAGATTAAAATAACTGAATAAGGTAAGGAAGTCAATTCAAGACTTGGATAAGAAAGTCATCAACATGAATGAAAAATTCAGCAAGGATATTGAGATTCTAAAATAAATAAAATAAAACCCCAGAAATGTGGCAAATGAAAAACTCAATAAATGGAGGAAACATAGCCAGTCAGCAGTAAAGGAAAAAATATAAACAAGCAAAACCACAACTTTAAGACTATGATCAAGAGACCAAACCTAAGAACCCATGTGGTAGAAGAAGGAGCTAAAATATAACTAAAGGCACAGAAAACCTATTCAGGGAAATGATAGCATAAAAATTTTCAAATCTAGGGAAATATATGGCATCCAAATAAAGACAGCATATAGAACCCCAAACAGACATGAAAAAAGACCTCTCCACATCACAGTATAGTCAAAATGCTAAGACTACAGAACAAAGAAAGAATATTGAAAATTGTGAAAGAAAAATGCCAACTTATTACAAAGGAAAACTCAGGAGAATTATATCAGTCCTCTCAGCAGAAAGCCTAAAAGCCAGGAAAGCTTACGATGAAATATTTCAAGTTCTGAAAGCAAATAACTACTAAGTACTATTATTATATCCAGTAAAGTTATCCTTTAAATCAAGGGAGAAATAAAGACTTTCCAAGATAACCACCAACTAAAGCAATTCCTGCCACTAAGTCAGCATTGCAGAAGCTAGTTAAAGGAATCCTATACACAAATGAGGAAGAAAGAAATTCACAAACAAGAGAGATCAGGAAAGAATAAATTTCAGCAAAGGAATAGATCAACAAATGAGAAGAAGGAAATTTGAGAGGGGTTAAGAAAAAATTATATAGATGGAATGAATTTGATCCAACTACATTATATGCATGTATGTAAATATCACAATGAAACCCCTTTGTACAATTAATTTATGCTTATTTTAAAAAGTTTAAAAAAAGGGCTGGTAGGGTAGCTCAAATGGGAGAATGCCTGCCTAGCAAGTGTGAGGCCCTGAGTTCAAACCACAGTACCATAAAAAAATTTTAAAAACTCAAAAAAGAGAAAATAATCAAATATGTTCAACTCAGTAAACCAGCAAAATCATAAGAGGAATAATGGAGAAAGAAAAGAACGAATATACTAAATAGTGATAAAGAAAAAAAAAAACAACGAAATTCCAGAAAGTGGCAAATACCTCTCAATAATAACCCTAAATGTAAATGGCCTTAACTTTTCAATTAAAAAATACAGATTGACTAATTTGATTCAAAAATAAGATCCAACTATTTGTTGTCAACAAAAGTCACATCTCACTAGCAAATACACACACAGACTGAAAGTGAAAGGAGGGCAAATGATAAACTAAGCAAGTGGAAATAGAAAACAAGCAGAAGTATCTATATCCATATTGGACAAAAAAGACTTAAAGCCAAAATTAGAAGAGATATGGAAGGTCACTATATTTTAATAAAGGGAACAACACATCAAGAAGATATAACAACTGTAAGATTATATGTGTCAAAAGTTGCACCCTATTTCATAAAACAAACCTATTGGATGAAAAGAGACAGGTAAGTCCAGACACAATAATAGTGGATAAATTCAACAGCCCACTATCATCAATAAATAAGTCATCTGAACAAAAAGTCAAAGAAACTTTAAAGTTAAACTGTACCATGGATCAAACAGACTTAACTGACATCTACACAATATCCAACAGATGCAGAATACATATTCTTCTCAGCAGCCCATTAAACTTTCTCCAAAATGTATCACATTTTAGGCAATAAAGTGAGTCTTAAGAAATACAAGAAAATTAATTGTATCTTATTAGATCATAATGGAATAAAATTAAACATCAACACCAAAATAGAGTATAGAGACTATACACACGCATGGGGATTAGACAAAAAACTTTTGAAAGATCAGTAGATCATTGAAGAACTTGGAGAAGAAATTTTAAAATTCA